TCAAGTACCAGTGATGAGTCTGTGGAGAAGTGGAGCCTTGTTTTTCAATTTCCGTGTTCATAATTTTCCCGCAAACTGTTTCAATATTTCCTATACCATATCCTTGTTTTTGTGCTTCTGTGCGGGGCATAGTTCTCCTTGGTAAATAGGGAGAATACAGCACAATCTATCAATACTGGTTTTCTTGCCTTTTTTTTTTCTCCTGACAGTCTAGTTTATTTCCATCAAGTAAAACAAATCGATGGTATTTGAGYGTATTTTTGTTTATCCACCTTCATCTGTAATAATTTTAACCAGTTATTTCTTATTTTCCTATGGTGTCTAAGAAAATAGAGATGACATAACTCTCCGTAGCTGTCCTTTGGATTTAGCAATTTCTATATATTTTGAACTTTTTCCTAATGGGAAGAGTGCAGTGTCGCAAGAAGAGTGATCGTGCTATTTGAGACTACAACATATTGAAGTGAGGATAAGCAACATTTTATATTGTGTGTACCTGAATCCCCAATATCCTGACCAGATGCTTCTGTTAGAGATGAAGAGAATTGCCTGTAAAACCCTCAGTACAAGCTGCAGCTGGTCAGCAGATTGCCAGCCTCATTTACCTACTTGCAGATGTGCTAGGTGGGAATATAGTATCACAAAGGGAGACAACTTGAAAAGCAGCACCCCACAGGCCCACCCAGTATCCTCCTCCTCTGCTCCTGCCCTGGAGCCCATCAGGCAGATGAGTTGCTCATCCAGTTTGTCACTGAAACAACATAGAATCATAGAATGCCGAAGGTTTCTGCCCAGCAGAAAGAATTCTTTGTTTATGGCTCTTCTCAGTGTCTTCTTTATTTTCTGTCTTCCTCTGCCCCTCCTATTTAAGAAAAAATGTTATATATTTTCAGGATTCTATGTGTGTTGCATGTGACAGTGTTTTGGGATTTGGGGGGAAGATGTCAAGACTTCAATGCATGTTTATAAGGAAGTATTAGAAGAGCTTGTAGGCAGATATTGGAGATAATTAGGAATTGCWTAGAACTGCTGTGGGCTCAAGCGATGCTGGCAGGCTGCAGAACACCCTTAAGAGAAGGAAAATGCTCTATAATTACAGCCAAGGTCAGCGCAGTCAGTTCAAAGCAAAAGAGATCGTGGGAGCTGGGGCTCCAATRAAGATATTGGAATGTCCTTAACAAGACACGGTTGTTTTTCATGATTTCAATGAATGGCTCTGGAAATCTACCTTGTAAAGGTGTCCTCTGAGCTGTGAGGATTGTGGCCTTTTTGAGAGAGGAAATGCACAGTTGTAAGTGAAAGTGATCTCTTGGTGACACTTTCCGTTTCTTTTTTTTCTCTAACAGCTCCTGCAAAGTACACCAATAAAGCACCCACTAAAAATCTTTAAAGGGTGCTATCCTACATTTGTATGTTTTTAATCCGAAACAAGTCTYTTGACATCTATCTGAAGTGCTTTGCCCACCCCTGAATTTTCCTTTTCTTCTTTCTGCCGTGTCCTAGTCTGCAGTAGTTGCCTTATGCGATAAGCATGAAACGGGGATGGATTTCACTACTGCATTGGTGCCCATGGCCGAGCGCACCTCCTTTCTCTTAGCAAGAGACAGAGAGATCTCAGCGAGAGATGCATGAGAACAAGCAAAGATGTTTGTGGTTATGCAACTGCAGCCTAGCACATTTTTATTGAAGTTAATGGAAGCAGGCAGCAAAAATGTTGAGTTAAACAGTGGTGCTAAAAAAAAAAAAGAGCCACTGTCAATAAGCTCCTATTTTTAATATCTAAATTTACTCCTATAATGTGGCAACATAACCTGCTGCTGGTTTTGCATTCAAGAAGAGCTATACTGGCACAGGAAAATCTAGTTGTGGATCCTTCATCTTTCCTGTGTCAAAAGCCTTAATCTGTTTTTTTCTGTTTAGGTGTCTGTAGTTAAAGAACTTATTACCAGGCTTTGGCTCAAAATGCTATTGAAGGACACATTCAAGCAATTTCTGCCTTTGTTACAGGGAGAATTCAGAGCAAAGATGTGTTTAACTGCACTTTAAGTGAGAGTATATCAAGGTAGATTAGTGCTATTTGTCAATATTTAGTGACCTACTCGTGCCAGAAACAATTTACCAGCAAAAACAAATGCTTTTTCAAGATGAATGAACTTCTGTGATTAGCTCTTGTCCTCTTCCGAAAGGAAAATGCACTCAGCTTGATTATAAAAACCAACAGTTTAGCAGTTTCATTTGGAAGAAGTTCACCTGAAAAGTTGAATACACTTCATTTAGGGGGTCTCTGCGGGTTTGAGAGCCGTGGTAAGATTGTGTGCTTTCCACCCCTTTCAAGTAACTTATTTGTGTTTTGTGGTGGGTAAAAGAAGGCAAAAAGATTGGTTTAAATGTGTACAAAGGTGCAGAACTGTAAGACCACTACAAATAGGCGCAATGGCAAGAGAGTGAGGGGTAAGTATGGATCCCTTYGGGAGAAGACTGACACCTGAATCTTGTAATTAGGTTATTTCATAAGAAATACTGAGTGGGGGAACTGAAAGAGAAAGGCTGACTTGAGATTGAATAGGGTGCCATGATTCTTTCCATTCTTTCCATTATAGACCGTTTCTRTAGTCTGGCAATCTAAAGGGCAATTCTCAAACTCTTACCATGCAACAGTGAAAAAATTGCTAGTGATACTGCTTTTAAAATCATCTGTGCRTTGCTTGTAACACTGAAAAGTTCTGATAGAGACTCACCAGACCTCACTGACAGTATTCCAGAGTTTAAGATTTTTTTTTTATAGGCATATTTGTGCGAAACCGGGAAAAAAAAAGYTAATCAAAATCTGAAGTTAGTGCAGCATCATATGTGATATAGACAAGATCATTTCTGCTGCCTTGAATGTAATGTGTGCAATTCTTAATTTAAATGAGTTCTTTTTAGCAATAATTGTGTAAGAGCAATAGCTACATCTGTTTGCTATAGACAGGTCTTTTGAAATATCTAACACACCTTTTTGATTTCATGTCTCTATAAAGCTGAATATRAGTATTTTTTTCTTTTACATGGAGACTTATTCAAGATTTGAGTAGTCTTTAAAATCCATCTKTGTTTAATCTTACCAGCTTTCATTTTGCAATACCTTCGCTTTCCCAAATGTAGAATTTCAAGTCCCAGAGGAATTATTTCATAGAATCATAGAATCCTTAAGGTTGGAAGGGA